CCACGTGCCGGGCGGAACCCTGCGGGCTTGAAGCGGCCGGGAGGACGGACCTGACCCAAGACAGCAGGCTTCTCGGGGCCCGGGGAAGGAGCCCGGGTGCGCACCCCCAGCGTTGACCTTGGTCTCTGCCGCCAGTGGGTGGGGCCCTCGGCCTTGAGCACCCAGCGGGCCGTGTGCCTGCTCGACTGTGCGAGTTGCTCAGTGTTGTCGGCTCGGGGTGTGACCCGGCCCGACCCGCGAGGCCAGGGGTCGGGATTTGGGGGTGCGGCGGCGCACGGTGCCTTCTGATTGCCCCTCACGCGCGGGGCACCTTGGAGGCTCTGCTGGGGCTTTGCAAGAGCATGAGGTGGGGAAGTTGCGGGGGTGCAGCGGGAGGAGCCACCCCACCCGAGCCCTGCGCGGCGCCTTTGCGGCCGTGGCCGTCAGGGGGCGGTGGCCACGCAGTGCCCGGGGCTGCAGGAGGGCGCTCTGGGCGCTGCCCCTCCCTTCCCGTCTGAAGTGTCCCTTGGGGAGCCGAGGGGTCCCCGTGGAAGGGATTGTTCCTACTCAGGCGCCTCTTGCTTGGGTTCAGGCTGTGACTCTGGTCAGAAACGCTGTGAGCCAGGACTTCCTCAGAGATGGGCTGCGCGGGGGGCCGCTGGGGGAAGGGTGTCCCGGCACAGGGTCGCTCTTCTCCAGGAGCTGCTGGGCGGAAAGAGCTTTCCCGTGGTCCTGTGTCCTTTCAGTCCATACCCTCCCAGTGGGCAGTGACTGGGAGCTTTGCATGGCTGGAGTCTAATAGGACCTGAGTCTGTGCTCCGTTGATTCCAAAGAGGCTTTACTTTGTTTGTTTGTTTTGTTTTGAGACGGAGTCTCACTCTGTCGCCCAGGCTGGAGTGCAGGGGCTGGATCTCGGCTCCCTGCAACCCCCCCTCCCGGGTTCAAGCAATTCTCCTGCCTCAGCCTCCCAAGTAGCTGGAATTACAGGTGTGCGCCACCACGCCCGGCTAATTTTTTTGTATTTTTAGTAGACAGGTATTTTGTCATGTTGTCCAGGCTGGTCTCGAACTCCTGACTTCAAGTGATCTGCCTGCCTCAGCCTCCGTGGGATTAGAGGCATGAACCACCGTGCCCGGCCACCAAAGAGGCTTTGATTTAACCCAAGGTGGGGCAGGCCAACGCTAGACAAGCACTGAGGGCTCTTGATAAAGGCACACCCAGATAACACAGGTTGGTGGCAGCAGCCATCTGGGCCTGCCCTGTGCACAGACAGTGGGCTGGGCACAGTGGCCCTCGCGGTGTCTGAGGAGGCAGAGACTGCTGTTATCTTTGTTTGGTGTGGTTACCAAGGGACAGGAGGGAAGCTGCAGGCAGTGAGGATAGATTGCGGCACCCTTCTCCAGGGGCCCCGGTCTGCCCTGGAACTGCCTCTTGTCTTAGGCAAATTTCTTGCACTTTGTGTTTTGATGCTTGTACCATTGCGGACTTCCTCTGCCCTAGCCTAGGGCTTTTCTCACTGTTCCCCGAGTGTGTCCCCCAGCGTTCCTGCGTCTGCCCCTCTTCAACCTCTGGTGCTGCCCTTGGTGTTCCAGAGCAGGCTCCAGCTTGGAGGTCTGTGCACAGGTGGAGGTCTGTCCCCAGGGCTGGGGTTCCTCCAGCACCATTCCAGTTCCTCCTGCCGCGTCATCCCAGCAGTCAGTCTGTCCGTCTCGCCCGTTGTTTACTGTCTGCTTGTCACTCGTGACTCTGTCCCGGGCACCTGCCCCAGAGCTGGCCCATGCTGGTGCAGGAACAGGTCCTTTGTGGTGTTAGCAGTGACTCCTGGCTGTGGTTGAGATGGAGTCTGGAGCTGTGGAAGTGGGGAGCAGAGGGAGGCTGCCCATGACCTGTGCAGAGCAGGTCCTGCTGAGGGAAGGTTTCCAGAGTGGTGGCCAGTGCAAGTCCCCAACCCCCCAGTGCCCCTCCCACCTGAGAAAGCTGCCCTAATGACTCTCCCAGAGTCAGTCCGGCACAGGGGTCAGGCCAGCGTTGGCTCCTGTGGGCTAGCTCCTCCCTGCTCCCTCCTCCCTCCAGCCTCTTTTTAGTTATCCCGCAAACTTCCCTTAAACCTGACCTGTCGGCCGGGCGCGGTGGCTCAAGCCTGTAATCCCAACACTTTGGGAGTCCGAGACGGGCGGATCACGATCACGAGATCGAGACCATCCTGGCTAACACGGTGAAACCCCGTCTCTACTAAAAAAAATACAAAAAACTAGCTGGGCGAGGTGGCGGGTGCCTGTAGTCGCAGCTACTCGGGAGGCTGAGGCAGGAGAATGGCGTAAACCCGGGAGGTGGAGCTTGCAGTGAGCTGAGATCTGGCCACTGCACTCCAGCCTGGGT